TTTTTTTTTGTATTTTGTTTGCTCAGATCTATGTTGAATTTTTGCTTTTTCTTTTTTTTTGAAGAAATATATATTTCTTAGAAATATTCTTATCTAGATTAAAATATCAGTCTATCTAATATGTCAACAGCAATCATCGTTAAATTAATATCAGACAATTCAATATATCCTGATTTACAAATACAATCAACAGATTCTAAAACATTAACTATTGGACGTAATGAACAAAGTAAAATAAAATCAACACGTTGTGCTAGACAACAAGGTATACATATATAGAATTCTGATGTACAGAATGTTCTAAACTCACAGATATACTACATAGGTTTTTCATAGAAGTAATAATCATTCATTTAATAGGTGACTGGACAGAACGTCGCAGGCGTATGGCTCAGTGAGGGCGAAAGTGTGTGTGAGAGTGCATCGAATATCCACACCCTATCCTAGCGTCAAAACAATGATTAAGAGTTCCTTTAAATACTATGAATTTATTTCTTTTTGTTTTTTAGTTGCTATTCGTATTGAAAATGACCAAGTATATATTGAACAACTTGGTTCAAATGATTCATTTATAAATGAAATTCCTTTAAAAATAAATAGTAAACAAATATTAAATGATGGAGATAAACTTCATTTATTAGAAAATGAATATAGTTATACTGTTCGAATTGAACGTTCTAATCTCGATAAATCTTCATCAATTGTATCAACACTTAAAAGACAAAATACAGATGATGAGCAAATATCTTATAAGAAACAAAAATCTTCTTTAAATAAAACAGATCAAGACGAAGAAGGAGAAAAAGATTCATTGGATAATCAAAATATTAATGATGCATCGGAAGAAAATCGTTTAAATTGGATACAACAACAATTAGACGCTTTACAAGCCAATACTACTCAATCGTATAGTTTACAAATTCTTCTCTAATCTTTACTTCGTTTTTATTTTTAAATAGATTACCAACTACAACTACAACTTCTACTCCAATACAGAAATCAGATCCAACAACTACAGATCTATGGGAAAAACCTGATAAGGGTCTTGAAGTCTTTACATCAAAAGGAGTTATCAGTAGTGAAAAGGTGAAATTTTTTTCTCAAAAATTTTTTCTTATTAATAAAATATTTCTAATTCAAGATTGCTGCATTTGATATGGATGGAACAATAATTCTAACGAAATCAGGCAAAGTACATCCAACTGATGAGAATGATTGGCGTATTGGTTTTGATACATGCTTTAAAAAACTTAAACAATTAATTGCTGAGAATTATAAATTAGTCGTATTTACTAATCAACGTGGTTTAATGAAGGCAACATCAACAGATAATTTTAGAAAAAAAATTCAATTTATTCAACAAAAATTAAATGTTCCTCTTCAAGTACAAATTAAAGATATTTTTCTCATAATAAAATAATCATTGATATTTATAGGTTTTTGTTGCTATTCATTCAGGTCGTTATCGAAAACCATGCATAGGATCATGGGAACTTTTACAATCAAAAGTAAATATTTATTATCTGTAGACTAAGTTCTATTTTTTGTTTATTTAGTATAATGATGGTATTAAAATCGATAAATCTAAATCATTTTATGTTGGCGGTGAGAATAATTCATGTTGATTATTGATTATTGAGTATCTCAATTGATTTTAGATGCTGCTGGTCGTCCAGATAAATGGAGAACTAAAGCAAAAAAAGATCATTCATCTGCAGATCGTCTTGTATGATATGAAAATAAATAAAAATTTTATCGATCTTTTCTTTCTTTAGTTTGCTGTTAATCTTGGTTTGAAATTCTACACACCAGAAGAATATTTTCTTGGATTAAGTAAAGCTATCTATGATATGCCTAAGTTTGAACCTGTATAAATCTTATTTTTTTTGTAAATAAATAAACTTGAAATATTTTGTGTTGATTTAGAAATCTCTTCGATCAATTCAATCACTTCTTGAACCATCTACTGCTTCAATGACATTAGACAAGACAGAAGTAATTGTTATGTGTGGCCTTCCAGCATGTAGATTATATAATATATTCTAACTAGATTATCTATTTAATATTTCATATATTTAGCGGGTAAAAGTTGGTTTGTAAAAAAACATATTGTTCCACATAAATATGAATATGTTAATCGTGTAAGTAAATAAAGTTATGTATTGATTTTAATGAATATTTTACTATTAGGATGAAGTTGGTACATGGCAAAAATGTGTAAAAATGGCTGAATTAGCTTTAAGTAAAAAACAAAGTGTTGTTATTGATAATACTAATCTTGATAAAGAATCACGACAAAGGTGAATTGTTATAATTAATCATAAATAGATTCTATTTTCTATTCATTTAAAATATAGATATATCGAAGTAGCAAATACATTCGGTGTTTCTTGTCGATGTTTCGTAATGAATGTATCAGTTGAACATGCTAAACATAATAATCTTGTAAGTTATTTATTTAAATAACAAGGATTTAGAGTTAATATATTGTAATTATATAATTAGTTTCGACAAATGATCGGTACAGATGATGCTCATAAAGATGTCAATGATATTGTTCTCATGGGTGCTCAAAAACGCTATGTTAAACCAACATTAGATGAAGGTTTCTCGGAAATTGTTACAATCAATATGCAACCTTTATTTAACGATACAGATATGGAAGAATTATATTATCAATATATTCTCGATAAATAAAAAGACTTTGCATTCTTTTTCTTTCTGTTTATATATCTAGTTCACTTATTATAATTTTCTCTTAATTAATTTCTGTCAAAGACAATAAATAAATATTAACCTTTCTAAGTTGATGATAAAGGATACAATTATTAGATTGAAGAAAATACAATATATATGAAATGAGTTAGAAACATCAACAGTTGGTAAATTACACACAATCGATATTCAGACAAGTGGTAAACCTAATTCTAACGAGAAAAGAATCGTGACACAATACTTAATTTCTGTGACTTTTGAAGGATAATTTAAGAGTGATCTCTGCAACATCTATTTGAAAGATAAATCTTTCTAATACCATCGCATGCTCATATAAATAAGAGTTTAATATATAACATAACACTATCTAAAATATTGCATGTTTTAAGGACAACTGATACCATAGTATCGGATTTCCTTAGTCCATAAAAAAGTAACAGAATACTATAGATTTTCTCTTGACAGACAATTCCAAACAAAAACGTTATCACGATTATTACTACATAGTTTGTTCAGTTCTTTGGCATGGTTTTATTTACTAGTCTGCTATTTCACCGTCATTTATCCAGTTGTTTCCATTTTAAAAATCATTGTAATTGAAAGATTCATTCATTATTTCCTGTTTACTACTAAAAAAATACCGCATGGAGTACGTGCTTTTCTTTTTCTATCTAAATTGTGACAGCAGATAACAAAT